ATAAGAGCTGGTTGTGGGTCTTTTCTTCTTGCGTTCACAGCTCTCAGTGCTGCTTTGCCTACGAAAAGGAAGGAAGCGGGGCGCGAAGGTGTGTGGACGGCTGATAGCCACGGCAGAGGCAGGGCAAAAAGAAAAGAAAAAAGCGCACGCGGCGGCAAGCAAAATAGGGGAATACAGCTGCACTCCCACTCATCCTCGCCAAAGGGCAAATGTCGCGAGAGGACTTTTCATGTGGCATCTGCTACGATTTGGCCACTGAACCGGTCGTGACGCGCTGTGGCCACCTGTTCTGTTGGAATTGCCTGGATCAGTGGCTGGGACGGCGCGACGCGGTGCCGGAATGCCCCGTGTGTCGTGGCCGTGTAGACAAGCGGCTTCAGGGGGACATCATTCCGCTCTATGGTAAAGGTAGGCAGACACACGCGGCAGGCTCCTCGTCGTCAGTGAAATCATCGTCGCCACCGCAACCACAACCCCATCAACGCCACGAACAACCGCAACGTCCACGCCCGGCTGCAGATCGAGCACCGCCTGTGGGACGCCCTGGGGCAAACTATGTTAATCATCCTCTCTCCTTAGGAATCGGTAGCTCTTTTTTCATTTATGGAGGCAACATGAGCTTGACACTTCTGCTCGTGGCTTTGTGGGCCATCTATCATTTTGCCCCTTGGCGCCAGGTCTTGGCAGGCGTGCGGGGCGGCGATAGCAGCCAGGGGAGGACGGAGCAGATGGGGCAACAGGAGAACAATACTGATTCGGAAGCTCGTCGAGCGCCTCGACCGGATGCAATAGTTCGAAGGGTGCTTTTATCCGTTGCCGTTGCATATATAATTCATTATCTTTTTGTGGCATGATTGTGTGTGCAGGTGCGTGTGAGGGAGGCGAAGGTGCGCGCGCCTGGGCGAGAGGTAAGGAGGCGAAAAGAATATTGGGAGTGATGAGAGAGAAAGCAAAAAAAAAAAAACTTTTACGGATGTTACTGCCAGTGGCGGCGGCGGTGGTAAGGCAAGAAGGGAGAGGAGGCGTGAATGCGTGACGTGAATGGAGGAGTGAAAAGGGCAACGAAAGAACTAGAGGGAAGAGAGGAGAACACGACAAAAACGGACAGACAAGAACCGTACCATGGGGAGGAACTCATCACTAGTAACCTTTTTTTTTTTTTATGTGCGGGTCTGTATGGGCAGACTGCTCTCGTCGGTGGATTTGTCTGAGTTCATCGCCTTCTTTCCATTCCTTCCCTGGTTCACCTGGTTACCAGATAAGCTTTGCAATGAAGCTGGTGGAAGTACTTTGCGCTGAGATGGGAATAAATAACTGAGTGAGAGGGCGCGTTTCGTTGTTGATCTGCACTCTTGGTCTGTGACTTGATCTCCCTTCTGAGGGAGACCGCGCTGAAGGGCAACGTGTGCAGTTCCTTCTGCCCCCGCTACTCCCCGCGCGGAGGGGGGCGGCGGTTGCGGGCCCCTAACGACTGCCACTCCGTGGGCGGATCCCGGGCTTTGTGTTATCATGCCATGGGCTGTTTCCACAC